AGAAAGCCGTATGTACCACAATTTTACAGTTCAATTGTGTGAGGAAGTCACTATGAGTCAGGGGCCCACTCCACTGAAATTAACAACAACATCACTGTAAACACTGATTTTATGCAAGAGAATGATAGCTGCATGAGCAACTACAGCTACAAAAGCAAAGGATGTTAGATCACTTGGACCTGTATTAAGGGATCATTTACCTCTGTGCTTATTCTCCTGTGTTTGTACTTTCTTTTTCCTACAGATGCAAGTATGCTTTCTTTTCTCATAAGGGAGTCACTGCCTCTATATCTAGTGAATTTCATTGCTTTAATTTTTTTTTACTTTTTTTAAAATATAAACATCACTTTCTATTGTGTTTTACCATGATTGCTTATTTTTTTTTTTTAGGACCAAATGCTTTATTTTTTAAAAAAATTCATTTTAATGAAAGTTTACAGAGACTTAGGGTTTCCATTCTTTCATTGTTGCACTTTTCTCCCTGAACACCCCTTCCCCCTCATTCACTCTTCTCTTTGAAAAGTAAAAGAAAAATTATTTCATTGTTATGCAGTCTCTCCCCCCAAGTCCACTCTCTGGGCAGCCTTCATTCTGGACTCCTGTCCTGACAATAGTACCTAATTATATATTCCTTTTGAACAGTTCTCTCCCTCATCTGTTTCAATGCAATATACATTATTTTATCCCCTCTTTCTCATTTTCCTTCAACCCCGATTTCAGCCCCTTTTTACAACAGTGGCTCTATGCAATATTGGTCCTTTTGTGACTGAGATATTTCACTCAGCTTAATGTCCTCCAGGGTCAGCCTTTTTAATAATATTGCATGAGTTCCTTGTTTTTCAATGCAGCATAGTATTTCATTGTGTAAATATACCACAGCTTCTCTATCCATTCGTTTGTTGATGGCACTTAGGTTGTTTCCAACTCTTTGCTATTGCGAACAAAGCCGTAATAAACATGAGTGTGCATATGTGCATATACCTCCTTTTTTTTTTTTTTTTTTTTTGCATATACCTCCTTGGGTGGCGGTTCTGGTTTCTTTAGGATATATTCCCAGTAGCGGAATTGCTGGGTCGAATGGTATTTCTATTTTCAACTTTTTGAGAAAGTGCCTTACTGCCTTTCATAGTGGTTGCACCATATCACACTTCCACCAACAGTGAATAAGGGTTCCAGTTTCTCCACAACCTCTCCAGCACTCAACTTTTAGTAGGACTATTGGTGATTTGAATCTACCCAGAAGAACCTCAGGAGAAAAGCCTGGTGACCTACATCTGAACAGAATCAGCCACCAGAAACCCTGTGGGGCGCAGTTCTACCAGGACATATGTGTGGTCACTGGGAGTTGCAGTCGAGTCTGTGGCAACTGTGTGTGTGTGTGCACACATGTACGTAAGTGTGCATTAGCATGTATGTGCTTTAACTTTTGTGTTGTTGAGAATCTACACAGCAAAACATGATCAAGTCAACAGCTTCTATACATGTGATTCAGTGGCCTTGATGGCATTCTGGGAATTGTGGAAATAGTCTCACACTCCCTTTCTGAGTTGTCCCTCCCCCATTAACATAAACCTACTACTTCCTTAAGGGAACTCTGGCAGCCTCGTGGCAAGAAGCTGCACTGCAATTCCAGAAGTACATGGTTCGATTTCACCAACTGCTCCCTGGGAGAAGGGTGGGCAGTGTACTCTCATGCAATTCACTGCCTCTGAAAACCCACTGGAGGGTCAGCTATGAGTTGATTCTGACTCCGTGACAAACAACTATCCAGTGTGGTTCTCATGCAGTCTTCTGGAGGGGGCATGGGGAAGGGAGGGATGGGCAGGGAGAAAAATGCAGCAATGAATGAAGGGAAATCCAAAATCTCTGTAAGTGTTCAGTAAAATTATTAAAATTTAAAAAAAAAAGACAAAGTAAAAAAGAAAAAGAATTGTCTCTATGAAATGAGACTGACAACAGCAACTGGGAAGGATTTCATTGCTTTAAAATTTTTTTAATTGTGATTTTAATGGAAGTTTACAGAAAAGTTGGATTTTTTTAAATTCTTTCATTGTTGCACATTTTCCTCCATACACCTCCCAGTGCTCTTGGGGGGGAAAAAAATCATCCATTATTTCATGATTTCCTCCTTTCCCCCAGTTCATTTTGCTATGCACCTCTTATTCTGGACTATTGTCATTTAAATAATGCCTAATCATACACTCCTTTTAAACAGTTCTTTCCTTCATCTATCCAATGAAGTGTTCATTATTTATCCTATCTTCTTCATTTCCCATCAGCCCCTATTTCAGTCCTGTTATATAACAGTGGTGTTATGCAGTATTTGTCCTTTCATGACTGAGATATTTTCATTCAGCATAATGTCCTCCAGGGTCACCCACATGGTGTAATATATTATGAGTTCCTTGTTTTTCAGTGCTGCATAATATTTTATTGTGTGAATATACCATAGTTTTTCTATCCATTCAATTGACACTTCAACAAAGAAGACATTAAGATGGCAAACAAACACATGAAGAAATGTTCAAAGGCCTTATCTATCAGAGAAATGCAAATAAAAACACCTATGAGATATCATCTCACCCCAGCAACAGTAGCAAAGTTCAACAGAGAAGCAAACAGCAAATGCTGGTGAGGTTGTGGACAGATTGGAACCCTTATTCACTGCTGGTGGGAATGCAAAATGGTGCAACCACTACGGAAGGCTGTATGGCACTTTCTCAAAAAGTTAGAAATAGAAATACCAGTTGACCCAGCAATTCCAATACTGGAAATATACCCTAAAGAAACCAGAGTGCCACCCAAATGGATATATGCACACCCATGTTTATTGCTGCTCTGTTTACAATAGCAAAGAGATGGAAACAACCCCACTGCCCATGAACAAACGAACTTCTTCTATGTTAAGCTTTGTAGAACTGTATCTAAAATGAAAAAAAATTAGGCTCTTTGTAAAGATCTTTATCATCTCCAAAGACAGTACTATAATATGTTGTTGTTGTTGTTGTTATTTGTCGTCAAGTCACCTGTGACACATAGTGACCCTATGTACAACAGGCCTAAACCCTGCTCTATCCTGTGCCTATCTTATCGTCTCTGACACACCTACCCCCAATCAATCCACCTCATTGAGGGTCTTTCTCTCTTGTGCTGTCCTTCCACCCTCTCAAGCATGACGTCCCTCTCCAAGGACTGGTCCCTCCTTGCATCATGTCCAAAGTAGGTCAGACAAAGCTTCAGAATCTTTATAATATAATATATAAAGCGTAGAAGAATCTAACAATAAAATGGACTACATCTGTTACTGAATGGGCATTAATAATTTGATCACATTAATCTCAAAAAGTCAAACAACATCATACTGAATGGTAAAAGACTAGAGGTATTCCTGCTAAAGTCAGGGGGCAAAAATACGAAGATATTTTTCCTTAACACTAACATTTACCATTATTCACAAAGTTGAGAAAATATAATCAAGCAAAGGGGAGGAAAACCAAAGATATTAGAAATGAAGTGGAAAATTCACTTCTTTTCTAAAGAAATAACTCCAGAGAAAATGTTAAAGGAATAACTCTAAAATTTTTAGAAGTTTAAAACAATAGTTTTAAAAAAAATGTTTAGTAATGTTGCTGTTAAATGTCATTGTAAAAGCTACAACTCATAGCGACCCTGTGAAAAATAGATCTGGACCTTGTCCCTCCCAGCTCCACCCTCACCACCTCTGACATACTCAAGCACGTTGCTCCAGTCTCTGTGTCAATCCACCTCCTTAAGCGTCCTCTCTCCCTCTGACCCTCCACCTTTCCCAGTATGATGTCTTTGTACCAACTACAGATCCCTCCTAACAATATGCCCTAAGTATAGGAGATGAAATTTCACCATCCTTGCTTTTAAGGGGCATCCTGATTGCATTTCCTCCAAGACAGTCTTGTCTGTTCTTTTGGCGGTCCAGGGCTGTTCATTACCCTTCTCCAACACCAATTCAGAGGCATCAATTCTTCCATTACTATTCATCGTCCAGCTTTCAAACGCTTAAAAAGATACTGAGAAGAGCATGATTTGTATCAAGCACACCTGTCTTGAAACATATCCTTGCTCTTTATCTCTTTGTGCCACTTTAAGATCCTTGCCAGGCTCCAGGAGGAGAATGGACAGGATAGAGCTAGATTCCAATCTATGGTTCATAGGGTAGGTATGAGTTAGATTTGACTTGAGGGTCACTAACGACAACCGCAACATGACACAAAGGAGAATGGCCCCACAGGATTTACAAGGCTGGAAATCTTAACAGGAGATTCCTGCCTTCTACAGAACAGCTAGTGAGCGCAAACCACCAACCTGTAGGTTCCTATTGAAGCACTTTAATCACTGAGCCTCCGGCTCTCCTTAAAACAATGCTGCAACACGCCTATTGCCATCAGAAAACATTCTGACTTATAGCAACCCTCCCTCAGGTTTCTGAGACTACATCACAAAGAGGAGAGGAGAATGCTCATCTTTCTCCCTCAGTGCTGCTGCTGGATTTGAACCACATGCAGCCGCATGGGTTAGCCGCAAAACTCGACATGAACTATGCCACCAGAGCTCCAGAGCAGCAGCAGTGTCTGTTGTTGTTGTTATTATTATTACTGTTGTGTACTATTGAGTTGGAACCAATTAATAGCTGACCCTCAAGTGGGTTTTCAGAGGCTGTAATTCTCATAGGAAGGATTTTCCATCTTTCTCCCTCACAGTCTAGCTTCATTTGCACCACCAGAGAGGCACAGCCTTTGAGTTAACAGTGAAACTCCCTACAGACTGCCCACCAGAGCTTCCAGAAGCTACCATATCAACTTAAACAGCTCAAGATTGCTGAGTGCAGATGGCATGTCTGATAGAAAGAGATAGAGGCAACTTACAAAGAGAGGAATTATCTGACCATCAAAGAAAATTTCTGCAAAAGAAAGATAGCTACGCTTCCTTTTTCTGGTAAATGCTTATCTTATTCTTCTGTCACACAGAATTCTAATTGATGATCTTCAAGAAGAGATTGAAAAACAGTTTGATGTTAAAGAAGATAACTCTCTCAGGCACAGCTACGCAAAATACAACGAATGGGACACGGTACTGTATAAAACGCCTATCCTTCAAAAAAAAACCCTCCTCCACATTTGCTGTCAGTTTATTTTTTTGAAAATTTTTATTTTATGCGGGTTTATTTACAAAGTACATATACACTGCTTTACACATCAGATCTTTCCCATTTCCTTCACACACACTCCTCCACTTATAAAATTGTACATGTCAGCTTACTTTTATTCTAATTCTTTGGAATTGGTTTTGCTCTTAAGATTGTTGCTTGGACCGAAAAAATGATGCATAAGCACCCTGAAATGGTAACCCGTATTAAAATTGGAAAGACAGCTGAAGATAATCCACTGTATGTTCTCAAGGTAAAAACATTTCAGGACCTACTGCTTTTTATTCTTATTCAAAGGTTGAATTTAAAAGGGACTTTGTGGGACAATTAGACCAATCTCAATACAGTAAGAACTCTTTCTCTTTTGGGGAACATTTAACATCTAGGTGTCCATTCAAATGGTTGGGGCTTTGGAAAGAACCAAGAAAGTACCTAAACAAATCCTGTGTCAAAGATTACAGAGTAGACCACCAACAAAATACCTCATATCTTTAACAGTTTGTAAATTTCCTGGTCTAAAAAGCTGTTTCCATGCATTAAAAGCCAGTGAAACTGGTAGATGAATATAAGAAAAAAGAAACTTAAGTAGTATACAGTGGTAAAATGCCAGAACAATAAGTGAACCATTTCAACACTATTCTGATGAAGGATTCCCTTCTATTACAGAGCTGACAACGGCAGCTGAGATGCTGCTGAATTTTATATATCCACAGACCGTGCTCCCTGAAGCAGATCGCTAATAGCTGGGGAGGTTTCCCTACCTGGAACTCCCACTCATTCATTCTCTCCAACCACCCAAAACAAATAGAAACCCTCTTCAAAATTACAGCCCTTCAAATACCCTGTCACTCTCTGTCACCCCTCCACCACCTCATTGCCAACACGACTATAGAATCTTCTTTACTCCAGACTAAACATGCCCGGTTTATAAAGCTGAACAAACAAAAGCAAATGGTGGAAACAAAAGTGACTTTTTAATCTCTTTCTCAGACCAAAGGATGTTAAAAATGAAATGAGAAAAAACAATGGACTGTGATTTAAAAAAAAAAAAAAAATCTTAAAAGTCACTCTGATACCAAACCTTCTAGAAAATGAAATGATAGTTTAGTTTCCCCCAGCATTCTGCCAGATTATAAGTTATGTACAGACATTGAAGGCCATACAGCCCACCCTACCTAAGAACAGTATGTGTCCACACAATTATTCATTCAACAAAAGGAAAGGGTAAAAACTGGTTCTAAAGAGAATATGGATGAGTCTTGTAATCATACAGAGAATCTAGGTGTGAGCTCATACACAATTACAAATTTCTTTTCAAACAGGTAGGGAAACAGGAAGAAAGAAAGAAGTCTATTTTTATGGACTGCGGCATCCATGCACGAGAATGGATCTCTCCAGCTTTCTGCCAATGGTTTGTCTACCAGGTAAGCACATGGAACACTCAGTACAAACCTCCTTTGACTTTCAAGTCACCAGTGATGGTGGCCTAGTGCTAAGGAATTGCACTGCCAACTCAAAGGCACATGGTTCAAATCCAGCTGCTCCACAGGAGAAACATGGGCAACCTCCTCCCATGCAATTTACCCCTCTGAACACGCACTGGAGGGTCAGCTATGAGTAGGTTCTGACTTAAAAGGAAACAACAACACTAGCCCTACACTGAGTGATCTCACTCCTTTCCAAGTCAGTGCAGTTCCATTTAACAAGTTCCATTTAGTCCACAGTTGATGCTGTCAGAAATAAAATGACTGGGATTTTACTCATCATTGCAGTCATTTCAAAGCTGACGCTTGCCTTCAAACTTGAATGTCAGTGGACAGGTGGAATTTAAAAGTAACTCTTTTTAAGCTATACCTTTTTTTTTTAGTTTTTTTTCTACTAATTTATTTATAAGATTCAAATAAAAATTTGAAAAATTCTTTCCATTTCCCTAACCCCCCGACCCATCAAATTGTACAACCCAATGATTAATCCTCTCTTCCACCTGCACACTCACATCCTTCTGCTTCCAGCCTCTCCTACCCCTCCTGGATCCTGTACTCATTCTACAATAACGGTTTTATACAATATTTATCCTTATGCGACTGAGTTAGTTCAGTCAGCATAATGCTCTCCAGTCCCTCCCAAGTTAGGTAATAATTTACAAAGTTATTGTTTTTGCATGCTGCATAGCATTCCATTGTGTGAACGTACCATAATTTCTCAATCCATTCATTCGTGGTTGGACATTTGGACGGTTTCCATGTTCTTGCAATGGTGAATAATGCTGCTATAAACATTAGTGTACAAATCTCAGTTTAAGCCATATTTTTATCTGTATTTTTTTTCTGAAGTATGATAAATCTGAAACCACTTTTGAATTAAAACAATGTGAGTAGTGGCTGATTCTATTCTGACTCCTGGGGACCTTTGGGGTTTTAGACTAACACGGTGCTTCCAGGCCTGTTTTCTGAGGTGCCAGTAGGGGGCTCCAGCCACCCTGGCTTTCTGTTAACAATCATTTGCACCACTCAAGAACTTTACCTTCTATTAACCCAAAACCCATTGCCTCAGATGAATTCTAGCTCGTAGAAGCTACCTACAGATTTGACCTCCCTTCAATAAGCTCAAAGCAGGAACATTTACTTCCTATTTAGATATTTCACTAACAATGCAAACACTGGAAATGCTATTTAAATTGACTTTCCAAGTGAAAACCTACTTTCCAATGACAAACCAAATTATAAGTAGCCCCTTTGTTCTTTCTCTCACTCTATTTCTACTGTATTCTGGCTCCTGCTGCCTTTTTAAAAATATTTTTTTAATATTGGTTTGGACACAAAATTCATACACACTGTATCTCATTCATTTACATAGTGTTTCTCACATTTCTTCATTCATTCACCTTGTGCTCCATACACAATGTATATAAAGGATCATACCCACGCATTGTATTATAAAACTAGTCACCATTGATCTGTGTACACTGTCACCTTGTCTGTTCAAGTCTCCATTAGATATTTCCTAATTCCTTCACCCACTCTTCCTGCCCACCAAACACTGTGATCCTCCGCGCCTCCTTCTTTGGACACCATAATCCCCTGCCATTAAGGTGATTCTCATGTGTAACGGCCCCCACCAGGTTTCCAGGGCTGCCAATCCTTACAGAGGCTGCTCACCTTCCATCATTCTCCCTTAGAGCACCTCAAGGATTCAAACTGCAAACCATTCAGTTAGCAATCGGGCACAGTGTGCATTTAGACCACCCAGGCTCCTAGAAGACTCTAAGTCTCAATGAGCAAAAGAGAAATTAAAATCTTCTGTTTTCTTATTTCCACCAATCTGAACAAGTATTAGTTTTTTCTTTCATCTACATATTTGTGCAATTTAAGAAAAAATATATGAAATCCACATGTTGTTGTTGTTAAATGCCATCGAGTCACAGGCAACTCATAGTGACCCTATGAAGGAGAGTCCTCAACGCTTGGGTGCCTTTCATCCTCTCTCCAGGTTCATAGGATTTCCGGAGGCAAGCTATTATGGAAGTGGATGCCACTCCTGCATCCAAGCTTGTTTTAATCAGGGAGCTCCACCCCACTCTCTGTCCACATAGGGTAACTGACCATTAAAGCACTTGACACATCAGTGTCACAGTATTCAGCCTCACAGCAACCAAAAGTGACTCCTGTACCACAATTTATACACCAGGGCTATGTGACCTAGAGGAATCTCTGGGGGAAAAAAAACAATGAAAGACAGGCCGGAGGGCCACGGATTAAAAGTCATCCACCTTTGGCTTGGTAGCATCATTTTCTGTCCACTGGGCCAGCTGATCCCTCTTTATGTTGATGTTGATGTTGTTGTTGTTGTTGTTGTTGTTGTTATTGTTGTTAAGTGCCATCGAGGCGCAGGCAATTCATAGCAACCCTATGAAGGAGAGTCCTCAACTCTTGGGTGCCTTTCCTCCTCTCTCCAGGTTCATAAGGTTTCCAGAGGCAAGCTATTATGGAAGCGGATACCACTCCTGCTTCCTGAAATCCACATATATAACTTAAATCATCATTACTACTCTAACCTAAAGATGGATTGACACAGAGACTCTAATAATGAGGTCAATTATATCAAAGGTCATGAGGATGATGTCGGATAAGGTTCAGATCAACTGTTCATAGCGTCCCGGGGAGTCATAGTCATAGTCGCTTCGATGGCACCTAACAACCATAAACAATGTGAGCTTCTCACAGAGCAGCTACATTTTACGCCAATCATTTAAGTGATACCTATCCCTACAGGCAACCAAAAGTTATGGAAAAAACAAGATCATGACCAAACTGCTGGACCGAATGAATTTCTATGTTCTTCCTGTCTTCAACGTTGATGGATATATCTGGTCGTGGACTCAGGTACTACGCTGTACTTTTGTTTCCATTTATACGATCTCTACTTCACAGACTTTAATGCTCATCCACTGCTACACATTGAGCTTAGCGTTTGTGTCAGCTCCCATTCAGGGAAGTATGGTTTTAAAACCCTCTATGCCAGACTACAGCAGGGATAATTTCCTGGTTTCTTAGGTCTCCTTGAAATAATGTGCATTCTTTACCATTGAAGATAATAATAGGGGACGGGAAATGCAAAGCCAGTGCTTACAAAGGAAATGTATGTGATAGGGCAAAAGCATATTCCAGCTACGAATAAAAGTAATTTAAAAGCATTACAGACGCATTGATTTTCAAAGTGAAAATCACTGGGAAAGGATTTGAGGGGAAATCAGCGTACGCTCTAAAAACAAAATAAAAGAGAAACACAGATATCTAGCTATCTGTGTGCCTTGTAATACAATCCTTCACTTTTTGGTATTAAGTAAGATTAATAACTTTCAGCAAAATGTTATCACATCAATTTCTCATATGAAAATTATACCCCAACCACCACAATTTGACCTGTATTAATTACATCCGAATCTAGAAATGGTAAAAGATGTGATGAGGTTATAATTTCAATAATGGGGTAATGTCAGAACATCATTGATCATTTTCTAATACTGAGAACTAATCAGTCGCTTTCCCAACTGAATTATTTCATCTGGGCCTAAGACTATAAAGATAAGAAACAATGTCTCCAGAAATATTACAAATTATGGGAAAGTAATATTTTCCCTTTATGATAAAGGGCCTCAAGTTAACTAGATAAATTTCGAGTGTAGCTACAGACACCTGCAGAGAGAATCTGAAATAATCAAATTGAAAAATGCAAACTGATCTTGTATAAACATCCCCATCATTCAATCCTGCAGAACCGCATGTGGAGAAAGAATCGCTCCAAGAACCGAAACTCCAAATGCATCGGCACTGACCTCAACAGGAATTTTAATGCCTCGTGGAACTGTGAGTAGCCGACGTGGTCTGCAACAAAACAACTCTAAAAGCTGTAAATACCGAACTGAGATAAACCACTTACTTCAGTCAAGACACGTATTCTTCATGTCTCTAGCTTCTTATTAGCAGTTAACTCAAGTTTAGAGGTTCAAGCCCACCGTGAAATGTTTCAGAAGACAAATCTGCTAGATAGGCTTCCAAGAGACAGCCTTTAAAAATCCTCTGGAGCCCAGTTCTAATCCAGCACACATGGGCCCAAATGGACTCAGATTTTACTGGTTTAGGTAGTCTTTGATTTTTTATTTCTTATCTACAAATGCAAGATAATCATCACGGCTGTAGAAGAGTTACAAATGGTTTGCTTTGGAAGTACAGGCAAATTATTGTTGCCGTTAGGTGCCTTCAAATTGATGAAGACTCACGTTGTTGTTGTTGTTGTTGTTATGGTGGTGGTGGTAGTGGTGGTAGTGTTCCATCAAGTCAGAACCAACCCATAGCTGACCCTCCAGTCGCTTTTCAGAGGCAGTTAATTGCACGGGAGGGGATTGCCCACCTTTCCCCCCACCCCACAGAGCAGTTGGTGGACTTGAACAGCATGCCTTTGGGATTGCAGCTCTGCTTCTTGCCACTAAGCCACCGGAGCTCCCTACGGGGCTCATTGTGACCCTATTAACAATAGCTCCAAGCCTTGTCCTATCCAGCAGCACTCTGGTCTATTGCTACAATCACTGTGTCAATCCATCTTATGGATATAGGCTTCCTCTCTTTTATTGACCCTCTACCTCTCTTGGCATGTCCTTTTCCAAAGATTGGTTCCTTCTGAAAATATGCCAAAGTAAGTAAGAAGAAGGGAAATGGTAGGGGTGAGGTAACAGGACATGAAAGGGCTGTACAGCTAACTTGTTAAAAATCAGGTATAAGCCTACAGGTCCTATTCTCTCCCTGGTGTTAAAGTAGATTAAATAACCCAGTAGACAAGGCAAGCATGCAAGGAGTTCCCGTGGCCTCACAGGTAAAGAGTTGTGCTGTCACAAGCAAGTAATTTGAATCGGCCAGCTACTCTGCAGTCGCATCTCATATGATTGACTCTGAAAACCCACTGGAGGGTTAGCTACGAGTCAGTTCCAACTCAACAGAATATGTTGTTGTTGTTGTTGTTGTTGTTGTGTGCCGTTGAGTCGCTTGTGATTCATAGCGACCCTATGTACAAAAGCCCTAAACAGAATATAACAAAACAAACAAAAAACCACACAAAAGGATCCTTACTCGCCCTCTGGGCGGTTCTTCAGATACTCACTGGAGGGAATAAAATGAAAGAGGCTGACAGCAATGTGGTAAATGGGAGATTTCAACAGGCAAAGCAAGAGCGGCTTTGTTTGTGATGACAAATATTCAAGACTAAAATCCTACCTCTCTATTTTGTTCCTTGTTCTCCCCTTTATCTACTTTTGCTGGAAATAACACTTTGACTTTTTACTCTACCCTTCCATGAGGAATATGATAAAAGCAACAATCCCAACAGAGAGATTCCCTCTGAAATAAAATTAAGAAACCTCAGTTTGGATAAAAGGCGATTGACATCAACCCGCAACTAGTCAGGGCCACAGCTGGACTGGAACTCAAGGCCAGCTGACGGCAGCTTCTGGGAGGCATCTCTGCGAAAAGGGAGGATGATAAACAAGGCTGAGCATTTTCCCGTAGATGAAGTCTTTTGCAAAGGGTCTTGGTAATTAAGCACTTTGCTTCTAACTAAAAGGTTAGTGGTTTGAAAGCACCCAGCATTTCCATGTGAGAGAGAACTGACCAGCAGCTCCCACAAAGATTATAAACCCCATGAGCACTTTTTCTGTCACATGGGTTACTGTGAGTTAAATACTGCATAAGACCATTATTATAAAAATAGAAGGATAACTAGTAAAACGTGTGTGGGGCTCTAAGGAGGGACAGGGTGGGAGCAGAGGGCTGAGGATGGATACGGGCAAAATCACAGGGTTGCACAATTTGGCGAGTGGAGGGAGGGGATAAAGGAAACGGCAAAGATCTGGCAGGAACCTGAAAAGACGGGGTAACCCTGGGCGCAGTGCAGTGGTGATGAACTTTATCAAGCACAGTGTATGGGAATGATTGTATGAAGCATAATGTCAATGAAGGAAGGTGTGGAGGGAGGGAAAGGTATTTGCAATGAATACTGATTATAGGGGAAGGGGAGCAAGTCTGTAACACCTAACAGCTTGAAGTCTGCATGCATGTGGAAAGTTAATAACAGAGACCTGAAAGCCCCTGTGTGAACCTGAGAGGTTAAATGGTTTATAGAGCTTTTTGTGAGCTCCCATCGGGCAAAGGTGATGGGCAGCAAGTTGTGACCTCCTCCACTGTGTCCTCTTGCAGTGCTTCCCGGAACTAGCAACCCCTGTGGTGAAACCTACGGAGGCTCCGCGCCAGAGTCTGAGAGAGAGACGAGAGCGGTCACTGACTTCATCCGAAGACACTTGCAATCGATCAAAGCCTACATCACCTTCCACTCCTACTCCCAGATGCTACTGTTTCCCTACGGATACACTCAAAAGCTGGCGCCCAACCACAAAGACCTGGTAGGTTGGAAGTCTAAAGCTTTTGCGTCAACACCACCATCAACCTTCAGTCCACCCACGGGTTATGTTCAAATAAGGTCAGATTTCAGTGCCAAAGTAAAGAGACAATGGACTTTAGCGTGGGGTTAAAATGTTTAGATTAACTTTCAAATTGGCCGAGTTGTAGAGAAAATAGAACAATTAAATGTGGTTCTAAAAGAAAGAAGAAGCAGTGTCTTGAGAGAATGGGGTCTTGCCACTGTCCAGATCTTTGGTGGAGCTTAGCATTTCTCAGGGTCGTAGAGTAAACCACACACGGCAAAACCTTACAGAACAGCAAAGATGTCTACTTATCCAAGTCCCCTAACAATACATTGAAGGAGAGCAATTGTATATGCTTCTTGATCAACAAATGAGTTTATATAAATCCCATTTACTATCTAAAGGAAGAATTTAGTGTTTGAAACTTCTTCACTAAGTTTATACTCTTTCCAGATTATAATCCATTATTTTTTTTTCCTTTCAGTAAACACAGATATATTAGGTTATTAAAAATACACAGCAATCTTCTGCATTTGAGTCTCACTGAATGACCAGATCTGGCAGGCTTTTGAATTGTTGTAGAAGAAAGGCAATAAAGCAGCTAAAATCTGGACCCCAGGTCCCAGAGTGGCCACCAGCTACTCAGCTGCTGCCTCTTTAAAAAAAAAATTACACAATTGTCATCTTTACCATGTCAATTGTAGTCATCACAACATAATAGCATTTCATTTTGAGTTGGTAGGGAACTATGAACCAGTCCTTGAAACTTTGCTTTGCATATATAAAATAAAGAAAACTTACAAGTGAAATATAGTCTACAGTCATTTGTTGACACAAATTAACAGAAAAATATAAACCCAGGACTTTAATTTATACAAATACATAGCAAGGCAATTGCAATCTGCTCTTAATTGATTTTAAAAAGCACATATATTAACAACAAACCACTTTGAATAAAATAAGGCTTCTTATACAACAACTAATTTGATTAGGAAAAAAAATCTATTTCTTGGTTATATGTATGTTATAGATACACTAAAGGAAATCTTCATTTGGAATGCGAATATGCCAGTGACCATATTCCATTAAAGTTAATTCCAACACTCATTCTCTTAGCACAAAGTGCTAATGTGCATTAAAGGTCAGGGAATGCCATTGTATAAGAAGAGGCCTAAATTAACAACGATTTTAAAGAGGCAACCGTCTTTCTTTTCTGAGGATGCTAAAATCAAATGAGTAAAGATAAAAAGGAAAATAAGGGCAGAGAAACGAAAGAGAAATACAGCTGAAACACAGCCCAGCTGCACAGAACTGATTTCTAACTTAGAAGCCCACGATGACAGCGTATGCCACTGAAGATCGATTTCCCATTAAGCCATTTATTTCTTCAAGTTCTTCAAGTTCCAAAACACTAGGGAAATTTACCTTGCCAAGCCCCACTAAATTACTGTCATTCGCACAGTATTCTGTTAGTCTTCTCTCACTTTCTTCTTTCTCCAGGCCAAAGTTGCAAAGATCGGCGTGGAAGCACTAGCATCTAGATATGAGACCCAATACATCTACGGTCCAATAGCATCAACGATTTGTAAGTGTTTTTCTCTATCAGACATTGCACCTTTTCCCTTAACTCTTCTTTTTTAAGAAAAAGTATTGTGTTATGTACTGTCAAGTCAGAATCAACCCATAGCTGCCCCTCCAGAGAGTTTTTGGAGGCAGTGAAATCACACAGGAGAAGAATGCCCATCTTCCTTCCACAGGACAAATGGTGGATTGACCACCAACTTTGGGTTGGCAGCATTGCTCCTTAGCACTAAGCGACGTGTGGCAACGGGGTTAGGTAAAGGGTGACTCAAGACATGGCAAGGTTCAGAGCTGTTGTTTGTAAGGTCGCTATAAGTTGTAGTCAACCTGACAGCATAAAACAACAACAAAGCTATTAGAGCTCCCTCAAGAAAATATAAAATTAGGATATCGGTGTTAGAATGTCTGCAATTGCTAATTTAAAATCTAGTTTTCACAGAAAATTCTATTACACTGCTTACTCAAAGACCAAGCCTCTCTGGTAATTCAAATCCACGTAAGGTTCATTCAAAAGATGAGAAATCCCACCCTCATGCTTTATAACCTTGAAAACTCAGTAAAAGTTCAACTATGAGAAGATTTCTACCCAAAAGCAATGAAAGAGGAGAGAGGGGAGAGATTCTAATTTTTTTGGCAGGAGAGATTTTCTTGTAATGAATCATACTGGCCCTATATAGCAAGATTATGAAGTCAACAGAAGTTATAAAGGCAAGACAAATTTGCAGTTTGAGTCACCTACCTCCCCACACCCTGCCGCCTGTAACAATATTTGATTCTCACAAGAACTAGAACTAAAAAGAATTCATTGATGAGGAGACTTGACTTTAATTCAACTCTTTATTCCCTGGCTTTGACTACATGCAACAAGAATCTGTTTTAAGTCTGAGTAATAAAACAGGTAGACCAGTAGTTCCGTCCACTGTGTTCATATACAACTGGATTCCTGTTCCTCTCACTTTCCCTTTTTATATTCAATTGAAATCCATATATTTGACTCCATGGTTCAATACAAAGGAAGCCACAGGCCCCAGTGAGGTTGCTTTTAATGTTATGTTTTAGCATAGCTTTGTCATGTCACTATTTGTAGACTCTCTTCTGCCTTTGTGTACTTTTGAATTAATAGACTTTGATTCTTTGGTCTTAGTTGTTTTGTGATAGTGTTGGAGTTTTTTTGGGTTTTGTTTGTTTGTTTGTTTGTTTGTTTTTTCTCTTATTCTACACACCAGCTATTGACAATTTTTTTTCTATAAAGGATCATTTAGTAGATAATTCAACTTAACTACTGTATGGAATTTCTCAGCTCAGGCATTGACTCTAATAAAAGCACCCCTAGGCAATATATTAACAAGTGGACATGCCTATATTTCAATAAAAATATTCACTATTTCATTATATTCATGGAAATATTCAATATTTCACTCATAAAAACTATCTGCCAGCTATCATGTGTCAACTTCTATTATGTAATAAATAATATCCACAATTATTTATTTTTTCTTAAAAACCTAGCACCACGTGTAGTCCTTGATTTTTCACAGTCTCAACCAGTCCCCATAACAACTTTATGAGGTACAAGTAACCGGCTAAACCTGCACTGGATCCTGGGTTTTTCCAAGAACAAAGCTCATCATCCTGACCATCGCTTTACTATGCCTAACCATTAGGTCTTTCCAGCTAAAATAACCACATCTTCTGTTTGAAGTCTACAAAAAATAGATTCATTTGCATATTTCACGGTGAGTGATTTTTTTATTATCCAATTTACTTTATCCACTTAGATCCTGAACAGTGAGATCATGTCTGTTCTTATTCCAGGTTTAGACTGAGCTTAGTTTGGAACTTTTAGCTGCCCCAGGTCAGCCTCTGTCTCATGGTGACCCACGGTGCCTACCGTGCTGAAAAGCCGCTCTTGGCTCTGTGCCACCCACCATCACCCTATTGTGTCTGAGTTTCTGATTTTGAGAAGCAGGTTGTCAGGACTTTCATTCTAGCTATCTTTTCCTGGAGCCCACGCAGTATATAGCAACATGAAAGTCACCCCTAATATATGGGTGATGGCCGTATGTGAGGTGTATTGGCTGAGACAGGAACCCATATTGTCTACATTCAAGGTGAGAGTTTTACCACTGAACCACTGAATTTGAGCTTTTAGTTCTTAACCAGAAACATTTTACAAAAGTTACAGTAAAACTCCTCATAATATCTTCTTTCCTAAGAAAATTATTAATTCTTCAAGTATAAGGATTAGCCTTCCAGTATCTTCTATATAAGATGCAGCCCATAGCATCTAACACAAGGCAGAGCATAAGATAACAGCAGCATTAATGTCTGTGAACCCGCTCAGTGAAAGCAATTCCCTGATGTATATACTCTCCTAGTCCAAGATAAATTTGTAACCAAAAGTCTGCATCTCCAGCAACTACTGTGTCATTTGAAAGTAGGACAATCAGAAGGAAATACCACTAAGTGGATGACTTTAAACAAAAGAAATTTCTTTTCTTACATTTCAGAGACTGCAAATCCAAATCCAGGACATCAAAAAAACATGTTTCTCTCTCTCTCTCTCTCTCTCTCTCTCTCTCTCTCTCTCTGTGTGTGTGTGTGTGTGTGTGTGTGTGTGTGTGTGCGCGCGCGCTCGCACGTTTATCTGTATCCATTCTGGAAGATCTTTCCTTGTTTTCTCCAACTCTGGTAACCTCCGACATTTGTTGGCGTTCCTTGGCTTTTGAGTGGCATCTCTACATGATGTGTATCTTACTCTCTGTGTGTCCGGAACAGAACTTTGAAATAGGGTAACTTGTAGTACTGGTTTAAAATGAAAGCCTCCTTAGTATGTAGTGAAACTTGTTGCTGTTGTTGGGTGTCATCAAGTTGCCTGCAACTCATCGTGACCCTCAGGACAGCAGACCTTGCCCTCTCCCACACTGTCCTCACTATCTGATAAGCTCCGGCACATTGATTCAGTCACTAGAGCAGGGACAAATAGTCGACTCCCTCAAATCATTGCCCTGGAGTTAATGTCAACTCCTAGCAACCCTCCACTGGGTTTCCGAGGCTGTAAATCTCAAGCAGGGAGACTATCAATCTTTCTCTCACAGAACTCCTGGTGGATTTGAATCACCAGAGAAGTGTAGCCTTCAGATTATCAGCACAACTCTCTATGGACTAAGCCACCAGATCTCCCCAGGGACAGATAGTTGTTGTTATGTACTTTTGAGTCTGAGCCAACCCATAGCAGACCCTCCAGTGGGTTTTCAGAAGCAATAAAACATCCAAGAGGAGATTGCCCCTTCTATCTCCCACAGAGGACTTGAACAAAGTGCCTTTGAGTTGGCAATGCAACTCCTCACCACCAAGCCACCAAGGACAGATAAGCCATCCATTAATGACGTAAGAGGGAGCTTTAGGTTTAGCAGTAGGGAGTTGGGCTGCTAACCAAAAGGTGTATGCCTCAATTCCACCAGCTGCTCCACAGGAGAAGATGGCAATTTACTGCCTCTGAAAAAGCCCCAGGAGGGTCACTCAGCTATTAGCTGCTTCAAACTCCAAGATATGTAGCAACAATAGTAATGACGTAAGAGCAACTCTTTGGAACAGTAAAACATGAAGATAGTCTTCATGACAAAGAGCTAAGGACCTCAAACAGTTACAAATTTTATAAATAACAACCATCACATTGAAAGATTATGTATCTATCTACATATATATGTATAATATGAGCATACTAGATCATAACTTTAGATCACACTCAACAAACAAGAATTTATGGATTATCTATATAATAGCACAGCATTTAAGGACTTTGAGAGACAAATGAGAAGGGTTAACGCACAGTAACTGCTCAAAGATGTTTGATTCTAACTGGAAGTAGCTGTCAGTAAGGTGCACAATGCCATCTTGGGTCACTCTCAGACTGGAAATGTAAATGGAAGGATAGGGTCAAAAGGAATTGCTATGCTGTACAACCATGCAGTGATATTTTTAAAATTTTTGTTGTATTATATTGTAGCAATTTTTAAAGGAATTCCTATTTGACAAGAACTGCCTCTTCTTTACAGGACTGCAGCAGCTTGATAAGTGTTCAAAAATTCCGGGAGTGACTGCTTTAATAAAGCATCTGATTGAATGTTAATCAAACATTCATGAAAAGCATGAGATAATGGAGAAGTTGAGTTAGGAAGAATAGAAAATAAGAACACCCCATGATTAAAGTTTAGTCATTCCAATATCCTGATTGTCACTTAACAAGTCCCCGGATTTGAGGAAAATATCTACATTGCTCTGATTTCTACCCTGTTAGAGACAGAACAAGTTTGAGGGAACATTTTTTTAAAAAAATCTAAATTACAGAGCAATCCCTGAGCCTGAGGACAAAAAAAAAGGAGTATATTTGCAATTTGACTCTAAGATGCAAATACAGCAGATATGTTTAAAAACATAAATTTGAAACCAAGAAGAAACCAAGGAAAGTGTCCAGTCTGTGGTTCTCAAGCCTAGGATTCCATTAGAATAATTTTGAGGTGTTTTGAGAAAGCAAGGGTGATCAGGTCTTACCCCCGGACAATTTTATTTCTTTAGTGTAAGACCCAGATGCTGGCATTTTTTAAGAGTTGGGTTTTTTTTTTTATTATTCATTCATTGTTGTGCATTTTCCTTCCTCCTTCCTTCCCAAGTTCACTTTGCAATGCACTTCTGTTCCAGATTGTTGTCATACATATAACGCCTAATCATATATTCCTTGCATTGGAAAAGATGAATTGTCTGACAGTGGCATTTTTAAAAAGTATCCCAAGTGATTCTCAAAGTTGAGAATTTAGCATAAACCTGTTGTTTTATAGAGTAAAAATTAGACACAGAAAGATTTTATCTGGGGACAAATTTTAAAGAAAAATCAGCCCTCTAGATTAAAGTCAAAATGATGTACTTACTACGTTCCTCCAAAGTAGAAAAAGTGGCACAAATGTTTAAATAATGACTTTTGAAGATTATATCACTTACATAACA